CTTGCTTATTGAAGACATATATTATATTTGAAGGATATCTCTCTTGAAAATTGGTAACTTTACAAAATGGTGTTTTACATTACCCTCATCAGAAAGTCTTATTTTCACATGTGACACATAATTTAATTATTAAAATAATGACTGCGATTGTGATTCTTAAGATGTAGTGAAGTAAAAAAAAGTTTGAGAACCTCTGGTTTAGAATATAGCAATGTTACCACATGACAAAAGAAACGGCCTGTATAGATTGCAGAACTGAAAAAATCTAAGCAAACGTTTTCAGAAACGTGACATGTAACCTCAATTTGAGATCTGAACATCTAAACAGAAGTGGTTGAAATATTCTAAATTAACATCCAGAAATTATATTCTTATATTCATTCTGCTATAAAAAAGTCATCAAGAGAACCTTTCACCGGAAGCAGAAATGATCCAAATAGACGAACAGTATCTGAATTGTAGACAGTAGTTTCATCAGTTAAAGTGTAATGCAGCGGTCTTCACAAAGCCATTAGGAGTCGCATGACCACTTGCTGTTGGCCCCTGAGGTAATTGGGTGTCACGCAATATGTGGGAGTTGGTAACATTACAGCTACGCTTCTGGGTCTGGGAGAAAAAAACTGATTTCATACTCCATTGATCTTCTTAATGTTTTCCTTAATCGAAGGATAATTATTTGTTTGACTAGAACGAATGGCTAGCTATAATAAAAGCCATTACCGGTCTGTAAATATATGTTATTTGGATCCTGTTATGATTTCTGATTAGAATGGGGCCTAAGTTTCCTCTATTGAATTTTGTAAGTCTCCGTTTTTTTCGATATAGTCGTTTGGGAATGAAGACGTTATAATTTTCTTATTAAAGCGGTTATATGATCATACGAAAATTGCTTTATTAGTTTCTTCGCTCACAGTTCTTTTCATTTTTTTCTTCATCTACGTGCGTTAGATTCTCTAAGACCGCTATAAAAATTGTTAGGTTATGATCATGATTAGTATGCGTCTTATTTGTTCATCAGATAAAAACAAATATAATGAACAAGGCTCCGCCTTCAACATCGCAGTTGAAACTTCTGATTATTCGAAATGAAGACATTTACCAGTCGTTAGATGATATAAGATTCAAATCGGTTTCCACAAAAGCTCATCAGGCATAAAATGTTTCATTTGAAGTTAAACTCCAAAACACCGTGGAGATGAAATCTCAAGTTTGACATATATTTGGAGAAAAGATAGTTGGAACTATTGTGAATATAATTTTAAATAAAGATTGTTTCAAAAGTTTTGTCATGTGTGTTTGTGGCTCCATATCTCAATGAATATTAATTCTACTGTGTCGTGGTATATTCTGGTCGATAGGGAATTGTGTACTCTATATATAGATACTTTTCATTTGTCCCAAAATTTTAATTTTTTTGCCTCTTTTCAGCTGATATACGGGGCTATTCAAATTCGTTTCTGTACAATGGGATCTCGTAAACAATAAGAGATAGATTGTCGATTAAATTTAGACAAAGTTGCGTATTTTGCAGACCTATTCAATGATGTGAAAAAATCGAATATAGCTCTTTTGGTTCTGGAGATATACAGGAAAAACCAAAAAATCTCAAATTACTTTTTAAAAGACCCGTCTTAGTTGTACAATGTATATATACGATAAATAACAATAATAACACTCGCAGTAATAATGAATGAATTATTCTTCAAAAAACACCTAAAATTGTTTTTACTTTTGAATGTTCATCAAAAATTTCAAAATTTCCTAGGAAAAGCACTTTCCAATGTATCACAGTTTACCTGATTAATTCAGTCATGCCTGCCATGTTTTCAATATTCGCTGTAGAAGAAGATGACGACATGATTCCATCCAATGTAATAGGCCTTCAATGGTATTTTTTCCCATTGAGAGGCAGTGTGAAATTAAAACAGGAAATTGTTTTCACTCTGTTGTTTTGAAAATAACAAGAGTAGTGTCACTCTTTGCACAATAACTCACAAACTTATGAGTAGAGTATCACGAAATTTCAACAGCTTTCTTTTGAAGGTTAGGTTAGGTTAGGTTAGGAAAAAGAAAGGAAGAAGCGGTGAATGCAATAATACTAGCACCATCTATGTATTAGGCCAGAAACTTTTTAGCCCAGGTAGTATATGGCGCTCTCATATAAGAAAATCCTTCGTATACCATTTATACTTTGGTGAAATGTGTTCGCAAATGACGGTAGTTTTAAAACCATAGGTTTATAAATTCAAGAATGGGAGAAAAATTGAGCTTTAAACTGGAGTAAAATTATCTTCAAGAAGAAAAGCTGTGCCTGTTGATGAAAACTACAAACTTGCAATTAGAAGACAGTTTCTTTGAATTGATCTTAAGAGAGAAATACCGTACCTTGACAGAACCATTAAAGCCTTTAACGAAGACTGAAGTAGGTGTCTAATATAGGCAGAAAACACGGTTGTTCCCAATAATCGAGGAAGAGGCCCCCACAATCGACCCGCTCGGAGGGGTCAGAGGCAAGGTGATGGGGCCCATAACGATGATTTGCCTACCGATGATAACCCTGGCAATGACAACGGACGCTTTCAGCGGACGCATGAGCTGAGAGATAGTCTTATGCATTACTACGAGAGTAGTGAGCCCGCGCGAAGAGGGTACATGACGAGATTGCATGCTCTGTGGTGTGAAACACATCCGGATCATGCAATCTTAGGGANGTTGGCTTTTGAAGATTTCGGGAGGTTTTAAGCCCGCTAAACTTCTTTTCCTGGTGAAAAGGACCATCTCAGTCTTCTTGGGATTGATCGACAGTGAGTGTTCCTTACCCCATGTTTCTATTAATTTGAGCTTCATTCTGCACTCTATCGCACAGTGTGTTCACAAATTTGCCGGTCTGCAAGATAACTATGTCATCTGTATATGCAACTGTGTAGAATCAATTATTTTTGAGGTGATTAATCAGGGTTTCCAGAACTATGTTCCAGAGAAGGGGTGATAAGACCCTGTGAACATCTCCTCATGACCAGTCCTTTCACTGTGATGTCTTCTACATTGATACTTATTGCTCTACTAGAGACTGTCTTGAGTGTCCATTCTCCTACTACCAGGGGTACATTCCTGGAGTGTAGTTGCTGGGTAATTGTTGGAAAGGTTGTTTTATCAAACGCTTCTTCGATATCTATGAATATACCCAGGGTGGATTCTTTGTTGTCCAATGATCTCTCAATTCTGACAACCATATGGTGAAGAGCCGAATCAGTAGACCACTCGATTCACGTACTCAGTAAAATTGTCTCAGTAGTGTTAGGATCTAGACATTTTCATGGTCATATCTAATAATAATAATTATAATAATAATGAATAATGGTCTTTATTCATCGTACACAAGTTACAAAATTGCCGATGTCAGCTAATTGCTATCTATGGCGAATGAGGTTATTTACTATATTGGAGTTGTTCGCGATGATCCGCTCGGTTTATACTCCTATGACCTTTTTTTTTGTCGTTGTTGTTTGAAGGGGTGGACAAGTTATTTCCTAGTTATTTCCTAAACTCTCATTCTGTAAAAACACAAGTTATTTCAGCTCTTATCCCAAATACAGCAAAAGTCAATCAGATAAATTACTTACTTCGAGGCATGCATATTGCAAGACCCCTGACAATCATACTCCAACGAACGCCCGAAAAAAAATTGAATCCTCCGACCAATTTGGTCCATCGTTTTTTGCAACCACCTGCTACTCGTTTAATGCAGTAGACACGAAGAGATTGAGTCCGAAGGAGTTAAGTATAGCCTTCAGATGTGCCCCGGGCTACCGTCAAGGCGGTCGAATGAAAAACGTAAAAAAATAGATTGTTTTGAAATATAAATACACACGAACTTTTTCACGTAAAAACAATCAACGGCCAATGTTATTGGAGTAATCCATATAGCGTTTGTTCACCTTTGTACAGGGGCGTACTGGGATATATTCTTGTTGGTGCGGGAGTCACTTATCTTGCGCTTTGTTGAGCGTTGAATTGACACCATCCATTCTAATAAAACAAATTTCATACTAGTTATTAACTATAATGAAAATGTTTTTCGCTACACAGAGGCTTCCTCTGTTGAAGTGGTACATCAAACTATTTTACAATGCATTTTATACTACAGTAGTTACAGAACTTAACTAAATTATTATTACAACAAATTATGTTATGTGAGTAAGTGTAGTTACGATTGTCTTATATGTAAAATCATTTTATTCCAAACCTTCAGTGGATTTGCAATTTATTCATCATTACCTTCAAGATGTTAATTCTATTTTGTNTATTCATCATTATCTTTAATATGTTAATTTTATTTTGCAGGCAACATAGATGAAGAAATAGTATTATTATCATTATTAAATAATAATGATGATGATTAAACCCTCAATGAATATTGAGAACGAAAACCCTTGAAAACCATGAAGAACCATGGGAAATTCAAAATCTCAGGCAACGAAACAAAAATTACAATCAAATTCTCAACCCCAAATAGTTTCAAATAGTAACAATAACATTACGTTCACAAAAGCAGTCATAAACAACATCATCCAATAGTCATGATTACAGCAAGCAAAAATCACTAAAACAGTGTATTTATTTGATGACACCCTATTAATAGATTACAAAACACGAATTTATTGTATCACCATGAGCGGGATTGATAATATTTTGATGAAATCAAACTAGAAAATACAGCAATCCGCCATGATATTTTGAACGCCAATCAGAGCGAATTACGTCACATTAGAGTGAACAAACGAATATGACACAGTGTGTCAACACAAATTACTAAGAATATTAGAAAATATACGTTTCAGAGGTGTATACGTTTCAGAGGTGGACCATTGAAACTTCTCACTAGTTACTTATCGAACAGAAAACAGAGAGTTGAAATCAATAGTTCATTCATTTCAGATCAAGTCATTGATTGTGGAGTGCCCTAAGGAACGGTTCTTGGACCTATTTTATTTAACGTTAATATCAATGATCCGTACAATATTGATGTGGAAGCGAATATTATTAGCTTTGCCGACGACGCCGCCCTTCTATTTCGTGGCAAGAATTGGAACATTTTGAAATTTATCGTCGAAAGGAAATTGGAAACTATATTTCATTAGTTGGATAGTAGGCTACTAACAGTGAACTTTTCTAAGACCCACTTTATTGCTTTCTCAATTCATAACATCAACTTTCCCACATATAATAAAATTACAGTTAATATAAAAGACAATATCATTAATATTACTGGAGTTTTTTCCCAACACCAAATCGATATTTTTAACACCTCGATACGTGACAGTTTTGATGTTCCTCTTGAAGATCGTCACTTGGTGATCGAAACACGTGTCGAGGTGTTAAAAATAACGATTTGGTTTCGGGAAAAAACTCCAGTAATATTCATTACTACACCAAAGTTTCCAAACAGTGCATCATAAGGACAATATCACTGACATCGAAAGGGGAGAACATATAAAATATCTAGGCCTCATTATAGACCAAAATATTAGATTGCACAAACACGCTGAATACGTAACAAAAAAATTAAGATCATTAATAAACTGTATCAAAAATTATTCGACTCGACACAAATGAACATACTTTATGCAAGCCTAGTCCAAACACATAAACTATGACATATTTGTTTGGGGTGGGATAACTAATAATTATATTAAAAACCTAGAAGTGGCACAAAAATGGCTAATAGAGATAATGTATAATAAAAACTACAGATTTCCGTCAGATGAACTCTCCCAACAATCGAAGCTATTTACAATCCATCAACTATAGTTTCCTAATCTTGCATATCACCAACACAAGTATAAACTACCCCAAATAGACCATTCATACAATAATCGACTGGAAAACCAAACAACCAGAATACCAAAGGTTGGAACTACAAAAAGCCAAAGATTCCTCTCCTATCCATGTCCGATAATTAACAGAAAAATCCCCAAATGAAACAGAAATACTCAATGGTCATTTCCTATTTAAGAAGAATTTGAAGGTATGGATTTTAAACCAGCCCCCCGAACAAATTCTCGTAGCTTCTCAAAGTGAAATTTAGAAAATAAGTTCAATATAAAACATCAAAATACATTTAACTTGAACCGTCTCAAATATACTGCTTATACCTATTTGTAAACATCAAAAAAGATTTTAAAAAAATGAACGAAAAAATATAGATTAATATCTTTGTGAGCGGATCTATACCAAAGAGCATACTATATAGCTTGTTAAAATAATATTGTTGGGTTTACTCATTACTACATAAGGACACATTGCAAAATGCCAATACCACGAAGGGCGTTGGATTATATCCGACAAGCGTCAGTGCAGGAATCTTCACAGAAAATTTCCTGCATATGCAATTGGCAATAAAACTGAAAGAGTCGACCTTCAATTTTGGAACAGGCACACTTGCAGACCGGTTTCGGGCTTATTAGCCACTCATCAGTGCAAGATGATGGCCATCATCGACCTCAAGTCAATGATATTCCAAAATTGAAAATCGGAATTCTTTCAGTATATTTCATTCCTCTTCCTAAGTTGCAGCGAATAACAAAATGTCACTCCATCTAGTGGACGAGATACTAACCAACTGCATATCCTGCACTGACGCCTGTCAGATATAATCCAACGCCCTTCGTGGTATTAGCCAGGGGAGTAGTTGTTTTCTGATAGGCGTGAGTCCATTCAACCTACCGTGTAGGTATATTCGAGACTGGCTTGAACGTTTACAAATTCATTTCTTTAGATTTGACCTCTATCGTCGAGCAGTTGAATATTGATGTCAGTAAAATACTGCATTGAAATCCTTGTAGCGAAAAAAGAAATAAGCTTGGGGAGTAAATGGAAAATGCTATTTCATAAGAGCCCCGAGCTGCCAACTTTATTTAAGGTTGTCTCATTTCACTTGACCATTGCACATTCAAATGCGTTCGTGGAAAGGGTTTTTTCACATATGAACTTGAAGTGCACTGACACATAAAACAGTTGTTCTGCACAACCGATGAAAGCTGAACTGATTGTAACTATTAACTCTGCGTATGCAAGTTGCAGTGAATTTTTTGACAACATGAAGAAAAATCCGAATTTGAAAAAAGGAGTCGATGCAGTAAAGTGAAACACTTAATAGAATTTCCTGAAAAAATAAACGTTGATTGTAATTTGCAATGGAATTAATCTGTAAGGAAGATTTTTTCAGAAAGAAGCTGTTGATCTAAATGAATAATTTAAGAAACTATGTTGATTGATATAAATTTCAAAAACATATTTCATCTTTCACAAAATAATTATTTATAGAACCTTCAAGACCGAAGAAATATGTGTTAAGTAAGCCATTATGTCATTTGTATCTCCGGTCTTCAATATACTTGAGCACCATAAACACGTCCCTTATTCTTCTCATCCCAAGGGGGTGATAACGCCCCCTTGTGGGTGCTGGAGGCCAATAGTAAAGGGCACAGAGAAGATTGGGTGGCTTTGAAGCGGTTTGGGGGGCGATGTCTAATTTAAAAATGTTTTTTTGCTTTCAACATAAACTTTACCGCTCCTTTACGCTTAACGCGCGTTTTCTCGTGTAACGCCGTCTAGGGGACTAGACAGTAACTATTTCCTGTCCGATAGTTGTCAAACTGTACAATAGATGGCGGTAAGCTTCAATGCGAAGCGAAAAGTTTCTAGTATCCATTCTCGAAAGTACTAGGCCCGCCTGCTACCTCAAGTACCTCATATAAAAGCGCGCGCGCCAATAAAGTCATTCGACGATATTACGAAAACAGGTGAATTTAGTTCGCGACTAGCTAGGTTAAGTGCTGTACGTGCGGTGGTGAATACTGTGAGTGGTGTCATTAGCAAGTTTTTAATACTCGATTCTTTACTTCGGCATTTTTGAAGACAAAATCATGTCCCAAGAAAAAAAGAAGAAACGGCAGTATAGCGCGAAATATATAAAATATGGATTTATTGAAAATCCCACAAATCCATCTTCGCCTATGTACCTTCTTTGTCAAAAAACATTTTCGAACGAAGCGATGAAACCCTCAAGGCTACAAGATCATTTGAATAAAATGCTTTCAGATAAAAAAGACAAAAGTGTGGCTTATTTTCACTGGAAAAATTTGGTGATGGGAAAGAAATTCCATTGGAGAATATTATATCAGCTGCTACGGATGGCGCTCCGTCTATGACAGGTCGTCACAAAGGCTTTATAGCGTACTTGAAAAATGAAATTCCAGATGTGCTCGCTGTACATTGCGTCATTTATAGGCAACATTTGGTTGCGAAAAATATGAGTGAGCGCCTCTCCCAATCACTGCAATACATCATCAAAGCAGTCAATAAAATCGAAACAGCTCTTTAAATGACAGGTTATTTAAACAGCTTTATGTTGCTAATGATGAAGACTTCAACCGATTGCTAGTTCACACAGAAGTGCGTTAGTTATCAAGAGGTAACTGTCTGACTGATTTTACAATCTATTTGGCCCTGTGATACCGTTCTTGGAAAACAAAGACAAAGAATTGCACGACAACCTCATCACTTCAAAGAATGATATTGTTTACTTGACAGACCTGTATGAATCATTTAATGATGTCAGTCTCCAACTTCAAGGTGACGACTTGAATTTGATAAAAACAAAAAATGTCGTTGCTGCTTTTGTAGCCAAATTGCTCTTATACAAGAATAATATCGACAAACGTGAGTTTCGCATTTTCCCTAATTTGTCAGCAGTATCCTTCAACAACAACGACTTGCTTGTTCACTGCCAACATTTGGAGAACTCAGCTTTGTGTTGCTAATGATGAAGATTTCAACCGATTGC